AACCGGTAAGTCGAACACCGGAGAGCGGCCGGGCCCGTACTTTGGCGTCGCTGGCACGACGGAGTAACGCACAAATGGCTGGACGAAGGTCGCGTGGAACGTAATGAGCTCTTTCGTTACTGGGTCAACTCGCGGATGAGCAGTGGTCCATTCTCGCATGAAGGATACGACACCTCTGCCCCCAAAGCCACTCTCGGTGCTTTGTCGCGGTTCGTTTTCTGCTGTCCTTCCGTTGAACCAACCAATAGTCTCCAAGCTCGGCAACGCGAATCTGAGAGGGGGGCCGCTTTCACACGTTGCCAATGCTCTCCCATTGTGAAATAGGACACTGGTGTTGGCGACGCTGATCTTTTTGATAGGACGACCGAAACCTGGGAGTCGCGAGAGGACTACCAGGAACACGGTTCGGAAAACCTCGAAGAGGATGCGAAACATGCTCACGGCAGGATTCACCAGTGTCGCAATACTTGGAACTACTGGTCGCCGCAGGTATTTGTTGGTTTTTGCGTGGCAGTAGACGTCGGTCAACAGGTATTGGTTGACAAATTCCGGCTGGACCAAAGTGTTCTTTTCACCTGCCCGGCGGAATAGAACACCACTAAGCATCCCATCCCCATCGAACCAGTGCGCCGCTCGGCTCGCATCATCGTTCGACACCGGGTTGCCTCCATTGCGGACATACTGGCCTCCTGCTAGATCAGAAGGGATCGTGCCCTCATGGCTGCAGGGAGTCAAGGGGAGGCAGGATTGAATCGGCGCAAAGTTCCCTGACAGGTAACTACGCGAGGAAGCAGTCAGAGATCAGCTATGAGTAAAAGGGCTAAGCAATATGGACTCACGGATGACGAGCATTCTCGTCTCCCCGACATTCGTCTGTCATCTTCGCGTGTAGATCAGACGTTGCCTAGCCAAGGTACATGCGATATTGTCTGTCAAGAACATGTAGGCTCAACTTCGGCGATGAAAGGCAATGTCGAGTTGTCAATAACGACCGGTCGACTCAGACAGCAGGTCTGAAATGTCTTTTGTGAAGCTGACTAGAGTTCAGGGACGGCTGTCGTACTTCAGAATTCCAGGCACAGTTGAAGGTGGGTTGTATCGCCTGGCCGACGTTGGCCGGGATGGTTTCCTGATTGCGCTCGAACATTGGACCACCATTCCCATCCGTGCTCGAACTGCCGACAGACTGCCCATCAATTGATTCTGGCTTGATGACGACATCAGACGACGAGGAACTCGGAAGTTCGGAAGTGCTTATGACCTTCCTCCTCTCTAGTGTGCGGTCCAGGTCGTCTACGCAAATAATTTCGGATCCGGTTTGAGCTGGACGCGTGGAGACATGCCGCAAGCTTGCCTTTGCTCACGCCCTGCTACAGCTATGGTAATCAGTCAACGGAATGCGATTCCCAATGCCTCCATAACACATGCGGCCGCCAACTCGTCAAAGAGACTTCGCGTGTAAGTTCGGCTCGAAAAGATCTGCAACTTAGTGCGAACCACGACTGTGCAGCACATGGTCACCAGACGTGTTTTGACACAAGGGTGGCAGGCATCGTGGACATGAGACAGATCGCGCACACAGCTTGGCGATCGGCAAACCAAGCAGAAGCCAAATTTGTTTTCTTCCTTATGGCTGCCTCTAGAATAAAGCTAATGATGTCTTGCCAGCCGTTGGAGCTTTAGCCTGAAGAAAAGCTGGACGGGCTAGACCTACTATCCCGTCTGCTGCCAAGTCTTTCGGGCTTTGCGCTGCAGACATCAAATCACTTGCCGGCGCTAGCTCCGGCTTAGTGGGGCCGGGAATACCACTCGGCAGCTTCCGGCCTAGAAACCGGCAAAAGTGGTGACTTCATCGACCTCCAATCCTTTCTTGTTGCGCCAACCGCCTTACGTGCCTACGTCGGAAGTTTGTCACAATCGCACTACTTCGAGGCGAAGAAAAAAAAAAAACTATTTTCAAATCATTCCCCAGTCGCACTGAGTGAATTACTTTGAAGAGGGGTCGTTTTCGTTCTGGCGCGGAGCAACTCTCCGCTTCAAGTCTGACAACCAGGGTTACAGCCTCCTGCCGTCATGGACTCGTCAAGGATTTGCGCGGGGAGAGAGTTCACAACTCATTTGATCTCATTCGCCTGACCCCGCTTCTAGGCTGAAGGACGAGTGGCAGAATCCCTTTGCGTTGCAGTCGTTTCTGGACGGTTGACACTGTTGACAGGGACGGCTCGAGCTTGGAATATCATAGCGCCCGTCTTGGCCCAATAACCGGTGCTAGCCTAGTCTCACCTGCGAGGGTGTCGCGCTGTTTGGGCTACGGCGAAGCTACTCCTCCATCGCGATGGTGTCCTCGCGTCGACGACTAGCCTATCGTCTACAACTTGCGGTAGGTTGGTGTTTCGAGTCTAAACGTCATCCAGAGCTCATGGAAATCTCAATACCACCTATCCCCTCTTCGTCTGGGTGAAGTCATCCGACATGGCTAGATGCGGATCACCCGGCAGGGGCTTTTGGGATCGCGTTAGCTCGGGCCTAAATCTGATGTTGGCCGAGGACAACAGATGAAGATATATGGCATGTAGCAGCCCCCTCACTATATGGATAGGAGAATAGAAAGCAGCATTAAAACATTTCCTGGCATACTCAACCAGTAGCACTTTCCTCGAAGTCTCCCGCCAGCTTGCAATTGACACAGAAAACCGAGCTGCGAACAACACTCACAATGGCGAACGATGCTCTCAACACCAACTCCCGCGTTGGCCAACAAGCCGACCTGGGCATCTCAGCCCGCGCTTCGGACTGGTACTTTGCCGTCTGCGCGATTATGGCGTTTTCCACACTCATTTTTCTTGGAATGGGTTTTACCAAACGAGAGACGCACCGTATCTTCCACTACATCACCGCCACGATTACCTTTGTCGCTTGCATAGCGTACTTCTCCATGGGCGCCGGGCTGGGCCAGGTCCCCATCCAGGTTGAATTCCCCCGCAACAATAGCCAAGTTGGCGGCGCCGGCACACGCGAGATCTACTACGTGCGATACATCGACTGGTTCATCACCACCCCGCTGCTGCTACTGGACCTACTTCTCACTGCCGGCATGCCCTGGCCTAGCATTATGATCGCCCTCCTCGCCGACGAGATCATGGTTGTCACGGGCTTGGTCGGTGCCCTCACGAGCACCAGCTACAAGTGGGGCTACTGGGTGTTTGGCATGTTTGCCTTCTTCTACGTCGTTTACGCGCTCGTGATCGACGGACGGAAGCACGCTGGTGCGCTGGGCGGGCAGGTGAGCTCCACGTATCGCAACTGCGGTGTTCTCACCATTTTCTTGTGGTTCCTGTACCCCATTGCCTGGGGCGTCTCTGAGGGCGGTAACCTAATCCACCCCGACTCTGAGGCTGTCTTCTATGGTATTCTGGATGTTCTTGCGAAGCCCGGCTTCGGGTTCCTCCTGCTCTGGGGACACAGGAACATCGATCCCACCGCTCTGGGCCTGCACATCCGCGAGGCTGGCCAGCCTAAGAACCGCCCTGTCGGCAGCCACGACGGAGACCACGGACACATTGGAGGTGCGGGACCTAGCAACGGCTTGTAATGCCACTGCGTTATCGCAGTCATTAGTGGGGGGTACGGAAAGGTCTCGGTTTTGAGGAGAGCTGGGTGCATTGCATCTACCTATCAGGGTAGCCATGGGGTTTGGAAAAGTTCCTTGGGTCTTTGCTAATCATGGGGTTATGTTTCTTATTGTTGACGGACGTTGGATTGATGCGGTTCACTCGCGGGCGCTTATATGCGTTGGCTTAATATGTGGTCATGTAATGCTCATAGGAGTTGTTGTATGTAGGGAAATTCATTTATACCCATAATCTAAGTGGCTGACTTCAACGTGAATGCAGTATTTAACTGCACGCAATTGCCTGGCGATTTGCCCTGCGATGGGCCTCGGAATGATCTTCTCAAAATTGGCATGTTCAGCAGGACGCCGAGGAGACAGAAAGCCTTCGTGTTCGTACGTGAGAGAGCGCGACCAACCCCCCACTGTGCATGAATGGGAATTCGTTTGGAGTTCTGAAATCATAATCTCGTTTCATCTACGAACTAGGTAGGCAACTCACCTCAGGTGAATCAAGCTTTGCGGGGTAAAAAAAGGCTGGCTGTAAGTCAAAAATGCTGCACCTCGCGAGAACTCAGGACTCAATTCTGAAAAAGGAGGTCCGGGGCAATGGAATCTCCGAACAAAACCATAGCCTTGAATACGGCTTGCTGAATCTTAAAACTTTATTGTGACAAGACGTGCCGTATCATAGCCGTCTGAAGATTGAGAAAAGTAGCTGAGTACGAGAATTCTATGTGTTGTCTTTGAATCTTTTCGACGATGCTTTCGGTGCCGGATTCGCATTCTGTGAAAATGCATATGGATTTAGAAAAGCTGAGAAAGCTGATGAGTTTAGAAAGCGACTTGTATTACCTAAAGTACAGAAATAGAAAAGTTGTAATTTAAGAAATTAGAGCTCCGGAGCTTTCTTCGATTATATTGTAAAAGGCCAGAGTAATCTCAGATCTGCGAATACATTGATGTAGCCCAGTCAGAAATAATAAAACATACAGAATGCCGCCACCCTTTTTTCTTCTTTCCTTTTTCCAAGACACGATCGATATGTCTGTTTGTGCGCCTGTACGGCAGTGGAAGATGCTGCTTCTTATGCTACCTCGTACTATTACAAGACTCAATTGATTTCATCACTATCCTCATGGGACGGTGAATACTTGGTGATAAGAAATACGAGACTTGCGCAAAGGGTGGGTTTTCTAAGCATCTATGATACGTAGATTGTGAAAAAAGCTTCAGAGGACTAGAAGCCTGGCTGTCCGGTTTGGACTTGTATCTACTGAACTAAGGATTTCACGTCTACGCGAGGTAGAATCAGAACCTCTCGCTTCTTCAGGCCACAGTCTCCTAGCGCTTTTCTCTGTTCTTGTTTTGCTTTCTTCTTCTTTTTCTTTCACGGATTTTGCATTTCGAGATTCATGTCGAAATTCATCCCCGCCCAGAAGCTATCATCCATGAAACTCAGACCATTCTGCTCGCCAAGTTCACCGATAGAATCCGCCAGAGCGAATTGCGTGTTGAAAGCCGACTCCGATCCGCCGTGACTCAGCAACGCCCCCTGGAGCGTCTGGTCCGCCGCGCTGGACTCGTCCCACGTGAAGTCTTGGTCAATCATGTTGATCAAGGGACACAGGCTCTGCTCTAGCGTCGGCTGCGGCTGCATAGAACTTGATACTGCACCATTGGTGTCGCTTTCTACCACCGCCGCCGATGCCGGTGCCGTTGGATCCGGATCCGGGTCCTTGCGGGCATCTTGCTCCTGCAGGATGGAGTTTGGCATCCGCTCCGGGTATTTCTGGTGCAGGTACTTGATCAGATCGGACCGCATCTTCGCAGCAGGACGCCAGGAGATGCCCAGGTCCGCCAGGACCTCCAGACACGCTTCAATGTAGACGGTACAACACGGCCTTCCCGTATTCGCAAACTCCGGGTCAGGGCTCGCGTACTGAATAAGCACCAGCGCTGCGGTGAGCGTGCAGTGCGTCGCGGTGATAGGGCTCCGCCGGAACGAGCCAAAGACCTGGCGGTACTTTTTGCCGGCGTGGCAGATACGTTTGGCCGACTCGATGCAGAGGACCTCTGCGCGTTTAGCCGTGTCTGTTTTGAGGGCCGGGGGCGTGTCTTTGGATTTGAGGAGGAAGGGCTTGAAGAGGAGGATGCAGCAGGTGTGGTAGACCATGTGGAGGGTGTAGACTTGGGGCAGGTCGTTGTGTTTGTCGATGCGGAGGTCAGCGGGGAGTTCGTAGAACCAGGTTTTGAGCTCGAGAGTGCAGGATTGGAGGAAGGAAATCCTTTGCGGGCCTTTGTAGAGTGGTTTTGGGGCGTATCTGAGGGATTTGTTAGATGCGTGTTCACCAAAAAGGGGGGAGATTGTGTGGGTGAAAGGGAGGCTGACGTACAGAGCCAGGAGGATGTTCTCAAGGATTCGACAGAGGCCTATTAGGCCGCGGTGTACGAGGACCTTTTTATTGCATCTGTTTACGTCGCATGAGTCGTTTGTTGCTGCAGCACTCATTTGTTCCGGTGTGTATGTTGACGGTAAATGGACAGCGCCTTGGACATCCTGCATCACAATGTCAGTACAGACAGTACTCTCATAGACGTTTGAACATGTGACATAGCGGAATAGATCTTACCAAAAGACTACAGACTCGCCCCGTGTATATGGCGGCAAGTTTGTCGTCACAGTATAGGGCCCAATAAATCTGTCGTCTCAACTCTACTTCTTCGTTGGACATGTGGCACGTGCCAGACAACGACGACGCGTCAAGGTTGAGTCCCATGTCAAGAGCTAGTCGATTTGCCATTCCTTGGTGTAGCCATCCGGCAGCATCGCATCCGTAGGACTATTTGTAGTGAGCATAGGAAACTTGGCAATTAGTTCCATCCATAAACATACCACATAGACCCCGACCAAAATGGACATTGACTGAATTGTCGTGATGTTCGGTCGTTTCATGTCATAATGTAAAAGGACTTCAGCTTTCTGGAGAAAGACTTTGCCGGCCGAGTTTTGGTCGTCTGGGATGGAACGGGTGTCGGTCCTATCGGAGTAGCGTGATCCCAGAGCAAGTATACAGTTGAGTAAACAAGGACTAAAGAAGCGACCCCGCGTTCTCATACTCTCTCTGAATAGCTTCTCATCAACCACTTGGCACCAGGGTTTTTGATACTCAAAGAACAAGTCTATCAGTTCTGTAGTAAGATCATCCGGGTAGACGTCTGCCTCCAGAGGAAGGATGTAACGGTTAGTCTCCGTGGACTTGGATGTCAATGGGCTGCCATGATCGTCGGACTCGGGCGTAGATTCTAGAGACTTGTCAATAACCAACCCAGCCGGGGATAATAATAAGCGATACGCACCACTCTGGAACTCTAAGCGGCCGCTCGCCGGGCCGAAGTATCGCATCTCTCCATCCTGATCATAGTTCACCGATTCATCCAGGGAGAGAGCTCCTTCAAAGGTGGCACATAGGTCGTCAAAAGCCGAAACGCTGAGTCCAGCATCGCTACCGGTTGCTAAAGTGCTGGCGATGGACGGTAGTTGTGGTGCTGATCCGGTGGCCGAGAGCTGGGCGACGGCAGCCTCGACATCGATGGTGTGGGACTGCAACACGGCTTCCAGGAGATCGATCCGGTTTCTCAAAAGTTGTACGTATGTCTTTGAAGCAGGCTTACGGCCGTCCTCTTCACTCCTATAGAGACAATTGATGGCACGTTCGGAACATCGGCCACAAATGGGCCGCAGTCCATCACACTAAAAGTTGGCACCTTTCAGTCAGCATCATAGACTTTTAGCCAGACCATCAGCCCATTGTCTATACGAGTAAGTCAACATACCCACTTCCTGGCACCCCCCTGTTTCTGGCACCCACAAAAACGCGAAAATCCACCACAACCCAATGCCCACCCCCAACCTCCTTTTATCACAACATTTTCAATTCGCGTCCAAATGGGCTCATCTTTTGCACATGTCTTCTTCTATATATAATGCCTCAATATACCGAAGATCAGCTTCGTCAGGCTCTCGAGGA